GAAGAACAGTTGGGGTACCAAGTGGGGAATGAAGGGCTACATTATGATGGCGAAAGACCATCGAAATATGTGTGGCATAGCTTCAATTGCTAATTATCCCATTGTCTATTTTTTTAATTCGCCAACCACAGTCTCACATTTTGCATCCCACTGACTAGAATAATGTTTTGTTTTAATTAACTGTCTAAACAACTATACATATTCATCAAAATGTTTCACTATTCCATTATTAACAATAAACAGTTTTTGCTTCCATTTTTGTCAAAATATTTTTATCCCCAATGCATAGCACAAGCACTTTAATCTACTGAAAAGCTAGAATTACCTTACTTAAAGTCCTACTGATCAACAATGAAGCATGATTTTCCACAGAGCCTTAATCTCTAAAGAACAACTTATCCTACTTATTCCTTCTTCAATGAGACTAATTGACTGTATTTTTTTGTGAAATCAAAAATGTCCATAAGACTTTGTACAATCCGGAGCCGGCTGTGGACTCCGACAAGTTGAATCTGTAATCAGTTGGAATTAAAGTGCCATGTTTCCCTTAATTAGGCCAATCTCGCCGCCATTTTACTTAGTACCTACAAATAAACGCCAATATTTGACTGGAATTCCTTTCCAAATCCCACACACAGTAGCACTCAACACACAAATTTATCAATGCATCGCCACAAAACACTGCATTCTCTAAAGAGCTGCCTTTCTTTTCGTCAAAGAAAGCACAGTGAATAAAATATCGTATATATTCGATGTCTTTTAGAATAGGTTTCCTTCCATGATTTAATAGATAACCTATATTTTGCAAGTTATCTGAGCATTTCCAATGACCATTCACTTTCAACACAAATAATTTGATGCGAAATTGTGTGTATATGTGTCTACGAAATCCGTTCTGTACAATATATAGAATCACGCCTCCTAACTGCTTTCGAAACTTGTCATTAGTATAACGTAAAAAGCCTAAAACAGCTCATTTAACCTGAGAGCAATCAATGCTCAAAATAGGGTCTGTGGGAATTGATGGTATCCCCGTGGCGATAAGTTCTTTTGTCCTTATTCCTTTCTGACATTTATCCTACTTATCTCATTCTCCATAACTTCATCCTTTGGTTACTTCTACCAGCAATCAGGTACAAAAGAATCAGGAGAGAGTACCTGTTTAAGGCGATAGGTGCCAGCACTCAAATGCACATTTCCACACAGGTCTGAGTGAAGAACTAGCTTGTTCGTTTTTGATTGGCTAATGTAAAAGCACCTTTGATCTATTTTGGGTGTCATGGGATTCATAAATTGGGTTTTTTTAAAGTTGATTAAATTTATGTTTTCAACTTTGTGAAAGAAGCGTTTTAAAACGCTCATGGCGTGCTTTAAATTTCGATCTGTTCATTTGAAGACACTTGTCACCTCTTAATTCGCTCGAGACTCCTTTATCGAACCTGTGATTATGACTTTTGCCTGAAAATTCTTGCTGATCATCACATTGATCAGAGTCTGTAATTTTATAATGATCGTGTGCAGTTCTACCTAACTACTAATGAGTCGATAATAGGGTAGGTTCTTCAATATTTAAACACATGAGTTCTTAGTAGGGACTAATAGACAATATTAATGCTGTTTAAAATAGTATTTGTCACCAATTTTGAAAATTGAGTCATTCTATAACCGAAAGCATAAAAAATTCAAAATAATGAGGCTACATTTTCTGTATAAATCAACAAATGCCACATTTTTAATTCCCTAGTGACTCATTGCAGTCTTTCTAAAAATGTTAGCTGCCATTCTATTAATTTTCCTATTAAAAAGGATGTTATTGAAAAAATATTTAACCTTTGGCAGAATTCTCCTTCTTTTGGTAGATTACTGTCATTTATTTTCTACTTGTCAAATTAATAATCGAGGGAAGCTTGCATTTATCAATTCTACCTTTATTAAGTTATTTCCAAGTAGCCTCCAAATCGATAAACGACTGGAAATATCACCAGATCTTTTCTAAACTGTCTTTATCTCTTGACTTTAACCTATTATAACCTTTGATTAATTGCTTATTTGGCAAAATTATGTTATTTAAGTGATAGTATTCATGAGTGCATAATTGGGTATTTTCATTGGTTTAATTTTCTTCTAGATAAGGTAACATAGCCTGTGTGCTTACGTTGTAAGCACCAACATACACCAAATTTAGCATAAATCCGCCATTATTGTTGTCAGCGGCACGTGAGAAGGTTGCCCATGAATGCATTTAACAGAGCTGCCTATGCATGAAATTTAAAAAGTTCTTTGCTGATAGAAACGAAATTTGATACCAACTACACCATGTCACTGTTTGAATCAACGGGACATTTTAAATGTCACTGAGACATATGTATTCAGGTGTTAATTAATTCCATAGTCTTCGTGGATGACTCACTATGTGTAAATGTGTCCCTGAGAGAAAAAGGTAGCTTTCGAAGGTGACTCTTGAATTTCCATCAAATCGCTTTCTAATCTACATCAATATGAAATAAAGTACCCAGTAGTAGATTTCATTTCAGTCCATTTATGCCAGTTTAATGCTACTATGCCATTAAACATTATTCCTATCGATTTCCTGTTGATGCAGCCCAGTTCCGTTTCGCAATTTTCCTCGTATTGATTTTTGCTACATTGAGAAGCGGAACCATATTCTACTAACCCAAACGTTCATTTTGCCTAACGTGATTACATCTTTACCCTTTGTGTGGCGTTTTCTTACCCAGTTTCGTACCATAATTTTAGGAGTTAAATAGATAAATGAAACGCCATTTAGTAGGAAAACAGACATCCTCTACCTCTCTCTCTCTCTCTCTTGATCATAAAATAACAATAGGAGAATTGGAACTGAGGCCAACTAAGCTAATTAACGATAAAAGTTGGGTCAAATTTATTTGTTTACTGGTCACCCATACGTACCACTTTCTCAATACTGTTGAGGAGATTTTGCCAGAGATGAATGTTAAAGTTTAGCAGATTGTTATTTCTGTTGTATCTACTGAAAGTATACAGTTAAGATCTGCAATCTGTTATTTCATTTGTCAAGTCTTGACCTACCTTCAATAAAGCTACTTTAAAAAAGAAAGCGTTTGGCCAAAAGAAACAAGATTGGAGATTATCTACCCATCGTTCCACTTTTATGTCAAAGCTGTCAACTCACTAAATAAACTGAAAGCCCTTTACAACCCCCCCCCCCTTCACTCCAAATAATGCAATTTCGTGTGAATATAATGCGTCCTAATTACGAAATGATCATGACCGTCTTAATTGCCAAGGTCAGTGTGACTACGTCTGTATAACGAACTCTGCTCATTGCATCAGACCCATGTCCTGACAACCAATCTGTCGCCTGCCAGTAAACGAGTTATGATTAATGCACCTCAAATAGGGATACCTTTTCCTGAACCTCCTGCTTTTGATCTCTTTACAAGCTTATAACTATGGCAAATGCAGCTGGTAGAAAGGTGCCTCTACTAATTAGGGGAGGGGGGGGGGGTGATAGCTGACAAGATTTTAATGTGAGCAAACCTGTTTCCGCGACAACTCCAATTAGAACCCAGAAAATTTTATCTAAACTCTGAATATACGGAGGCATCTTTAATAGCCAGCTCATCATGGATAAAACTTCCAGATAACGAATAGGAATAGGCAAGCGAATCTAAATTCAAACAATCCAACTAATCTGTCCTACTATGCTGGACGCTGTGCCAAAGATAACATCGCAGAACGAGAAACCCAACAAGTACAGTTCAAGGCTACCCAAATCCATTTCGCTCATAAATGTTCCTACAATGGAGTATAAATAAAAGACAGACAGTCTTCAGCAGAAAGACCATTTCATTGGTAACACGGAATCATCAAATTAGGTGGGAAAGTGGAGGAAAAATAAGTGCACACAATAGTAAAAAAGGCAGGTTAGATGAAAGGGAGAGAACGAGAGTGACGAATGGGAATTACGTTGTGTATTGAGCTGTCCGACCCCGGACATCCCCGGACTGGTATTTGGACCTGCAAACAGATCCTTCAGGCATTCAAGAAGTTGAGGTGGTCGAGGAAGTAGCAGCTGCCGCAGCCGAAGCACCAATTGAGCAACTCAGGCGGGTCAACTCATTGCCAACTTGATAAGAGGCCAACTTGTTCCAGTCCATCTTGTCGCGGGACATTGGCAACTGACGACGTAAGGCTTTTACGGATTTGGTGGACATCTCGTCCAAACTCCTTCCGATTGCAGTCTACAATGAATAAAAGCGATAGTAATTCTTGAATGCACTGTAAATTGCCATAGTCGTTCTGATAATAATTCAACGAAATGATTCAAAATCATCAGTGAATTATCTTAATATTCATTAATTTTTTGAATAAGACGCTATATCTGTAAAGAGAAACCGAAAGAATTAACGGACTTTCTAAACAAATAATTAAAGACTGTATATTAAATCGATAAAATTACACAAACGGATTTCCTACATAACGATTCCATTAACATAGGCATTAATAAAAATATGTAGAAAATAATGAGCTAACATCAATAGTTAATGTATAGTAGGTTTCAAATTTATTACTGCGTCAAGTTATTAAAATAACGAATGACTTCAAAATCAGAAGAAACAAGGTAAAAACCCAGCAGTGCACATCTACCAATCAAGATGAGCGATCGAACAACTTAATATAAAACAAGGTGAACGTTTCTCAGTAAATATATCAAATCAAATAGGATAAGTATAAGAAGCCCTTTCGGGCTACAACTTGGAACAAACTTCAAATCTAATGAATGAATAGCTTTAAGATACATTAGGAGATTTGGGTGGGGAACAGATGATTGATTCACAGATGTAAAAGAGACAGACAAACATAAAGTCAGAGTGGAAGTGGTGGAATATGACATACAGTGGGATCATGGAAGTTTGAAGTGAGAAGCCAGCTTAATGGCTAATGATAACTATCAAAATGCCTGCCATTTGAAATAAATAAAAACACATCACGTGATTTTGGTGCTCATTTAAATAATAAGGAGCAATAACCGCAAAGATATTTCGATTGTCTAGACTAGAGATTATTGGCAAGGTCAAACCATCCCATCCATCTCTTCAACGGAGAGCGCTATCCTAAGTTATGAAACAAAATACAAAAAGAGCTATAATAAATTTTGCAGACATATCAACCAGGCATTTTTGCA